GAGGAGATGGAGGACATCAGGGGAACAAGGGACTCTAAATCACCTAATTATGGCACACAGAAGGTCACAGAGACTAAAACAGCAAGCGCAGGGCCCACTTGGGCTTACATCAGGACTTCTGTATATACTGTAGCTAGTAGATTAGCATTTATGTGGAACTCCTGACTATGAGAATCAGGGCGTCATTGATTTGTTAGTCTGCTCTTGGGACTCTTTTCCTCCTTTTAGATAGCTGTGACCAATTTTGATACACATTTTTTTTTTGCTTCATCTTATTATATTTTATTTTGTCATCTTTGGTTGTTATATCTTAGAAGACTCTTCTTTCCTAATGAGAACTAGAAAGGGAGTTGATCCAGAGAGAAGGGGTATGGGGGAACTGAGAGTAGAGGAGAGGGGAAGCTGTAACCAGGATATATTGTATAAGAAAAGAATGTATCTTCAATAAAAGAAAAAGAAAATAACACAGATGACTCAAATTCTGGTAATCAGTTTTATCCAAAGTAGCTTTGGTTAATTAGTCAGTTAATACTCCTGATTTCTTAATTTCTAAATTGGAATTCTTAAAAGAAATATTTGTCTTGGAGTGCTGGTGAGTCTCAGATGAAGACCCAAAAAGGAAACAAATCAAAATGCAACAAATAGAAAATAGCTAAAAGCATGATCTGCTGGATAGACTTCTGTTGTCTACCTGACACAAACCAGAATCACCTGGGAGGAGGGAACCACAACTGAGTAGATGCTTTGATTAGATTGGTCCTTGGGCTTGTCTGTGGACTATTTCTTGTTCGCTAATTGATGTGGGAGGGTCCAGCCCACTGTGGGCAGTATCATCCTTAGGTACCTTCTATATAATAAAGCATATTGAACAGAAGCCAATATGCAGCTTTCCACCATGGTTTCTGCCTCTGCCTCTGCCCCTTCATGAGTCCCTGGCCTATATTTCCCTCAGTGATAGACTGTAACTTTCGAACTGAAATAGTGGTATTGTATCTGGTACTGTAAAGCTAATAACCCTATAGCCCCAGTGGCTTTTAGTCATGGTGTTTATCACAGCAACAAGAAAGCAAACTAGGATACATGACAAGTATTAATTAAACTATATCAATAATCATTTCAAATGTAAGGCTTCTAACTGGACTCATTGAAACAGAGAAGATAGAAAAATAAGAGCCATCTACCCAGTCTAGCCATGAAATTTCTATTTAGAGTAAAAGGATAGTGAATTGCTGGATACTGGAGCCTCTTTCTTCATTATCTCTTGAGGTAAGCCAAGGAGGAAAAGCTTCAGCAGGGGCAAGACTTGGTCTTGTGAGATATTTATGGTTTCCTTTTCTATAATAAAACATTTATCTGTCTTAAGTTTAAGTTACTTTGGAGTGGTAGCTGACCTGCCTAAATTCCCTGTGAGGCCAGAAACTGCAGTTTCTAGTGTTTAGCACCTCAAAGTAAAACGGGGGGTGGGGGGGTGGGGGTGGGGAGGAGGGTTAGGGTGAAGGGGGAGTTAAATAAAGGGATTTGTTGCCAGAGTTCCTTTCTCTGGTGAATCAGCCAGAAGCCTCTCTGGCTAAGCTTGTTAACTCTTTGTGAACCAGAGAGGAAGGAAAGGAAAAGAATTAAGAGGCTTTATTCAGTCAAATATGCACAGACACATATACATTCAAACATTCATACACCCACATTTTGGCCCATCTGTCACAATCAACTCCACAAGTATTCATGCATGCTTACATATATACACATATACCTACACACAAATATACAGACAAACATACACATTTGGATGGATGAATGAATGGATAGATAGATGGATGGATATGGCAGAACTCCCCAAGCCAAACCATTCAACTAACAACTTTATTTCTTCTCTCTGGTGTTTTATATCTTCTTAGACAAAAAAATTCTTTAGAAAATTACTTCATAGATAAAATGTTACACAGAATGGGAGTTACAGAAGGATGTTGACATTAAGTTCAAAGAAGTGTTTCATCATAATATACTCATTATAAGTTCAAAGCTGCAGTTTATACATGGCTTTACCTTATCATAGTGCATAACTGTGACTTTATCCTTAGACTTAAATTTTTTTTCTTAAACACAAAATTGTCCCAAGTGTATTTCTCTTTTTAGTGAACTTATGAAAGCTCATTTTATTTCTTATTTTGCAGCCTTTTCTTACTATTTTGAAGAGTAGGCACATTCTATTCTTGATTCTAATTTTATTGCATATTTTCTAGCAACTAAGACCATCTTTAAAAACTTCCTAAAATTATTTGAATCAAATCAGGAATTCTATAGAATCATTACCTATTTGTCTATATAGCATTACTACAAGATTACCTAGGTCAATACCTATGAATGTTATTTATTTAATAATAACAGGAAAAGCATGTTACTAGCAGAAATCTTTCCTCAGATATAATCTCCTTGGTTTTGCCTACAGAATGAAATCTATCCTAGATTGACAGTCTATGGCAGAACTCTCAGGAAGATCACCTGCTAGTTTTGACCCTCTGCTAGATGGCTTTTGGCAGTGAATGATATACCATGTTAACACTAATAAAAAAAAACCTAAAATTGCTATGTAAAGTTGTTTAAAAAAAGCAAATATCAACACAAGAAAAATTATCAGAGAAAAAGAGATAGGTAAAGAGCTCTCATTGTATATGGAAATATCCACCTAGCAATGGGACGTCAAGATGTATGCAGCATAATGTACTAGAACGGCAAGGAGAAAAGGGCAAATGCACAATTATAGTTGGAGACGCCCATACCACCCTTCTATCAGTAACTGATAGACCAAGCAGGCATAGAATCAGTAAGGATATGGGTGACTTGATTTCTGCTGTCAATCAACTTGATCTATCTGACAGTTATAGGACAGTCCACCTACCAATACCAGATTGCACATCCTCATCAAGTGCACAGAGAATACTCATTAAGTCAGACAACATCCTGACCCATAAAATACACCTTAGCAAACTCAAAAGGACAGAAATCTAAGAGAGTATGCCTTCACATCACGATGCAGTCAAACTAGAAATAAAAGATAGAAAGATGCCTTGAAAATCTCCACATATGTGGAGGACATGGAACAGAGGCGTGGAACATGGCATTTACTCCAGAGATCTCACCTTTTTGTTATTTGTTTGTTTTAGTAGAAGAATTGCTCCAGTACAGTGACAAATGTATCTCCAAACATAATAAGCAAATACTACAGACAGGATTCTTAACTGGGCAGGGTGGCATTACCAATATCCGGAGACTTTTTGCTTGGAGTAGAGTACCACTTGCATCTTCTAGGTAGAGATAATACTTAGCATCCTATAGCATATAACAAATAATTATGCATCTCAATGAGTATAGAAACTCTGCCCTAAGATTATAAACAAAGTCAGAAGACATGGACTTCCGAGTCCTGTACTCAGGACTCAGGTCAGAAAACAAAGGGTCAAATTTCTAGCTCCTGGTGATTGGATGAGCTGTTTGGAATAGTCTTGCATCACCACCTTGACTTGATGAATCCTCACTTTAAATGGCAAGACTCCCCTCCCAGCATCCTCTTCACTTCCATGCTGCTTTCAAATTCTTAGACCTTAAGAACAGAGGGAGGAAAAGAAAAAATTAAAAAAAAAAAGAAGACAAAGATAGGAGGGATAAAGGGCGTGGTCATATTTTTTCCTGTGTTCACTGATGTGTATATAAATGATTTCTGAAATAAGTTTAACTTTTACTGTCTAACATCTCATCTGAGCCATTCTCTAATCATGTCACAAAGCTCAGGGAGTAAGAGACTAGCATTAGAAGAACACCCCCCCGCCTTACCTCCCTCTAACCAGGACTGGTAGTATGTATTGTCCTACAGTTGCAAACTTTCAAACCTTCTGCTTATCTGAAGTTACAGAATTACTATATAAGACACAATTTTTATTTTTTTTAAAGAAGGGCTAGGGAGATAGTGAGTAAAAGTGCTTGTTTTGAAAGCCTGATTCTTTGAGTTCCATTTCCAAAACCCATGCAAGGACTCTGGATATGGTTGTACAAAATTGTAATGTCAGCACTGTCTGGGAAGATTGGAAAAGACTGAAGAATCGTCCCAAAGCTCATGGGGCAACAAGCCTCGTATATATATGCATGGTGAAGCTAGCAAAGGAGATCACACCTCAGCAAGGTTGAAGAAGAAAAAAAAAACTCTTTCAGAAAGTTCTCTGATCTCTGTACACAGGCACACACACACACACACACACACACACACACACACACGAAGTGATACAGTGTATTGCATGAAACTCTAAGTAACACTTAAAATGACTGTTCTATTAAATAGCTATTAGATTCCAAAAGCTTCTCTGATTCCTCCTAAATGCCCTTCAATCTTAGGTGTTTCATCCCAGGTCTGAGTAACTGAGTGACCTGAACAACTACAACCAGGCTAAACTCCTGCAGCACACCAGAGCAGCAACAACAGCAAAGAATAATGATGTGGTCTGCTAACTACTATTTAGACATGAAATGAGTAAAAAAATCTGAATAAAAAAAATTTTTTTTTAATCATTTTGCTTCCAAAATGGTGATTCAGAGTAAAAATGTGAGTAATTCCATCTTGTGTACATATTAAACTGTTTATTCCTATGTATCCTTTAAAAGGGAAGTGACAAGTTTGTGATTAAATAATGTAAATTTAAGTATTTGCATATTATTTGGGGGAGGAGCATTCATTCATTAGGAAAGACTGCATTCCATTTGGTGTTTGCTATCTTCTGAGTCAGGCTTCTTGCTAGAGTGTTGCATTTGATCTACTAGAAGATGAATGAGTTTGAATCTCCTTTAAATCATGGGTCTGAATCCTGTCTTATTCACCATTGCATCTTAACATCACTTGCTGATTCAAAATGCAAGATGCCAAGCTTCATGACACTTTCTCTGTAACTTCAGCCTGAAATAGAACTTGCCCTGAGTTCTGAGTTCTGTCTCTAGGGTAAATAGAACAGACTAGTTAATATAAACAAATGAATCCAGCATCTAAGGTTCAGCTGAATGGGGTCTTGTTTTTTTACTGAGGAATACAATACGTGCCCTTTTCCCTTTCGAGATGAAGGCTTGGTGAGGAAGTAGTATAATGAAATAAGCTGTGCCTAGAATATTGAGTTAATTTCTGAAATTTGTCTTCACTGACCACATTATGGTATGACAAGTTGACTTTAATTTAGGTCTTTGAAGACAGATTCTTCAAAGATGAAAGTCTGCCATGAGATTACATAAGGGATTCCTGCAGCAGTTACACATGAATTGATTTGTCCTTGAAGTCAATGGTCATGATAGATAGGTGTTTCGTTGTCATCTTCTCTCCTAAATGATCTTTGGGATGCTGTTTTACACACTGCTTCTTTATGTGGATCCATGCCTACCATGCTTTCTTAAAAGTCTCTCTTCAAACTCATAATTGTTTTCCTCCAGTATCTTTTCTTACATACTATACTTCACACACATTCTTTTTGGGAGGGTGCTGGTGTTTACATTTTTTGAGTTTTAGTTCCCCAAAATGTCTGTCTCTAAAATCCTATAAAATTCTGATCTGCTTTGTGAAGGCCATGTCTAGTGACTATATAATTCCAGAATGGTAATTGCTTTTAAACTTTGAAGATTTACTCACCATTTTTAGTGACAATTGAAAAGATACCTTATGTTTCATGTACTGCAGTTTCACTTTGGTTTATTTTGATCTGGGTTTCTTTTTATTGGCTATAGTTGGATGTTATTATAATTCTAAGTCTGACAATTTACATATTTTACACATTCTTGAAAGATGTTAGCCCTTATCTTTTTGAAAACTGCCTTTCCTCATTTCCAGTTTAAACCTTCTTATTTTGTTTTCTTTCTCTTCATCTTCCAGTTTGTCTTTTCTGCCTTTCTTAGTGCAGTCTGAGTAATGGGTTCAGAGCTCTACTGTGCCATGGCAATAACTCTCTTTAGCTGTGCTTATATTGTTTGATCCATTTAAATTTTCAAGTTTTATCATTTTTATTTCTCTTAATCTCATTTGACTGTGTTTCACATCCTTCTGGACACACACACACACACACACACACACACAAAACATTTTCATCTTTTGCAGTCCATCTAGTTCATACATTTTCTGATTTTCGTAGGAGCCGGGTTTGCTGGCTATTTTTTTTTCCTGTAGACTTATTTTTTAAGAGAGCTAATTTCTTGCTTGTTGGTGCTGCTGCTACCCTTTGTTTGTTTACAGTGATACCAGTAATTGAAGCAAGGTCTTCACACATGTTAATAAATGCTCTACAAATACTAGTGCTCTGTATTTTTAATTTGGGGATATGATCTCAGCTACATTGCCCTGGAAAGCCTTGAACTCCTCTGTAGCCCAGGCAGGCCTTGAACATGTGATCTTCTTTCCTCATCCTTCCATGTATCAAGACGTGCAGTATTGCACCACTAAGTTTGTTACTGATTTCTAGTTATGAGTTAACTCATTTATGGGAAATTTCTCATGAGACTTGAGTTTCTGTTTTGTACTGCTGAGAGAATTTGTTTGCCTTTATCTATACTAGAATCACTGTAAAAGTAAAATTAATAGTTCTACAGTAGCTTTCAAAAACATGTCGCTTGATATTAATCTACAAATATGTTGACTTATTTCTAGTTATACATTTTTATGCTGACTCCTTGTAATGACATTTTAAAACTAATCTCCTTTAAGACACCAGCATTTGTATACACAGACTTAGGAAGGTGTCTTGTGTTGAATGTTCACCCTAAAGTAGGTTCATTGACCCCTGTCATTTATAGCTGTCAGTTCTGACTATCAGACCTGAAGCTCAAGAGCACCAGATGGAGGCCATGACCAGTGTTCATATCCTTCTCTGGATCCCAATATGCTTTTAGACATTTTAGTTCCGAGAATTTTTCTAATAAACATCTATATAAATGTATATAACAGAGCTATAATTTATTATTACTAGTGTAAATGTATTGCTTCTAACTGCACTTAGTTAATAGTACTAGAATCAAATAATCAGTATCTAAGAACCCAGGCTATGTTCCATAGAAATCAAACATTCTTCTCCTTCAGCCTCTCTAGTGCTAGCATAACAAGTGTGAGCCATTATGTCTGACTGTCAAGAGTTTACGAAGTATTTCATATTTCTGTATTTAAGTTAACAATGTATTCATCCATCTACTTTTCTTGGTAAGAAGTCTTCTCACTTCAACTGAATAGATGCCTAGTATTAAATACAATGAGTAGAGCATCATTCATTCAACACATTTCTCACTGATGTACGTTTAAGTGATTTTCTGGTTTTACTGCCATTAAAACTGTTGATATGTGTTACTTTTTTTGTCTATCTAAATTAAAACCTTATATCTAGAATTGTCAGGTCAAAAAAATATGATGTTTAAATTTTTAAAAACTATTTTCTGAGATTATAATATAATCACATCATTTCCATTTTCTTTTCTTCACATGTACTCTTTCTCCTTGCTCTCTTTCAAATTCATGACTTTTTCCCCTTTAATTGTTGGTGTGTGTGTGGTGTGTGTGTGTGTGTGTGTGTGTGTGTGTGAGAGAGAGAGAGAGAGAGAGAGAGAAAGTATTTCTAAGTAAATAATTTCAACCTGCTCAATCTGTATAATATTACTTGTACGCATATGTTTTCAGAGATAATGTTTATTTTATTTTCTTTGAATTTGCCTTTCAGAACTTGAAAAACTACACTGAGAAAGAAACAATCGCAACATGCCTGTATCTTCATTGCTTTATATTCACTGTGTATCCTGTGCATGTTACCAAGAATTTGAGAAATAGTTTGTCTCCTCGTAACTTTGTTCCAACATTAATTCCAGAGTGAGCAGATTATAAACATATTCATGGAGTACTTTTAATAGATATTTTTTCATGTGAGATGAGAAACTGATTTGAAGCTTTTTTTTCCTCACATTCAACTCATGAAATATATCTGTTAAACCAATGGCGATCGACCTTTCATCTAGGTGTGGGTGCCCTAGCTGTTTGGAAGGTAGTCACAGTGAGTCTGACTGGAATTACTCTTCCAGAAAGAGAGGTGATGGTGCTTCATACTCAAGATTAAGTAAAAAGTCCACACTCTCTCCCATCATGCAACGCTTTCTTTCTCAGTGTTGTTCTAACGAGCTGGAGAGCGCAAACAAGGAAGACTTCACATTTCTCACTTCAGAGGAGGAAAGTTCTGTGGACTTCTCTCAAACACAAAATCTTAGTCAGACATCAAAGAAGACCAGACCATTGAAAGAGCTGACTATCCAAGAACTACTGAGCAAGTTTGGAGACAGTGGGAAGCTTCCACTACATTCTGTGTCCTTGAGCCATTTTAGAGACCATGTGGTGGTGAAGTTTAGAAGAGCTCTGTACTATTCTGGAATCTGGGTAAAGTATGTCCAGGGCTCTGGACTGAAAAGGCACTTTTCAGCTCACTACTTTAAAAGAAATCCCAGTAGCCTGCACCGGCTGATTCCCTGGCTGAAACGGGAACTCACAGCTATCTGTGGAGACTATGGCTATACAGTGAAGAATATTCTGACAGCCATTCTCCATCACATGACAAAATTTAACTTGGACAGTGAATCTTTCACTCACCTACTGGAGCCTTATCTCTTCCAACACACACAGCACTTTCTGCACGAGTTTATCAGTTTCGTTTATTCATCTTACAACATGGAAACCTATGACCGTAATGCCATCTATCAGTGTCCTGTTTCAACATGGATAAAAAAGAAAAATATTGTTTCAGCTTCAGTCTTGCCTTTGCCAGAGGATCGTTCCTCCATGAAATTTCAACATGGCATAAAGCAGTTCAAGAAGAACTGGAATAAGACTGGGCAGAGCTCTGACTCTGGCTTCAAACAGTTTCCAAAGGGTCATTCCTCAAAACATTCCCAAATTTCAACAACCCATCAGAAACCAGCAAACAAACGCCATGTTTGGTCCAAAGATGAATGGGGATCAGATGATTTCAAAGACGTAGTTTGTACTACTAATTCACTAAATTGGGACTATCTCAGGGAAAGCAGGCCAGACACAGGGTATTATAGAAATGATAAACAAGAGACAAAGTCAGAAGGCACAAAGCTGCTTCCTAGACATGTTCAGGATCTAAAGAGGCATGAAACAAGTCCACACACCTTTAGAACATTGGTGGATTCTAATCAGGCTCTCCCAAGAAAGTACAATATAAGGGAAACAAATGTTTTTATTCCTGGCAAACAGGTATATCATCAGAAAAAAGAAGCAGAAAAAAAGAAGCTTGAAGAATCTTCACTAAAGTCTTTTCAAAGATTGCCCAGAGAAAGAACATTGATACGCAGCAAATCCAGAGAGAGTGATCGATTTTGTCATTGTGTCTCAGAAAAAAGCACCTCTCCTACCAGAAATGATAAGATGTTGGCTTCTATTAGCAAAAAGACGGTAAGGTGCAGTCGGTCGTCCCGATGTGTAGAAGTTGGTTCACACTACAGTAGAACAACCCAAAGACAATACAGTCCCAGGACACCCAGATCCAAATCCTGGTGTGTCAGATCTAGAAAGCAATCCATGAGCAGAGGTCAGAGTAATCTCTCTCTGAGGGAAAATCACAGAAGCAAGCACTGTGGGCTATCAAAAGGAAATGCTCATGGCTGTGAGTCAACATACAGGGTGGCATCTTTGAATCCAGACCACTGTATCCAGGTTTGTTTAACAGATGGAAAGTTTTGTAAGTGCATGTCTGCAGGTGAAGATCAATCTCAAACTGGAGAACATTGTGACAGTCTCTCATGCCTACAGACTGAGAAATATCAGTCTCCACGTAAGCATGACATGAAGGGGAAGCACCTAGTTGGTAGAATTAGGAGAATCAGAACACACAGGCACAAAAAACCCAAATACCAGTGTGTGGCTACACAAACCACAGCAGAAATCAGTGATGACTTGGAGGATCTCAAGGATAAAAGCCAACAAGGAATTGTCATTCTGAATGTGTGACTTCCTGCAGAAAGTAAATTTGAAAAAGAAAGAAATTCAAGACTTCAGAACCTTCTAGCCAAGAATGAATCTAAGCTTATCATCAGAAGCATAAAAAGCTAAGTGGTTTTGAAAGGCAAATTAGTCTACTTAGCCACCAAGGCTCATTGAAAGTATGGATTTAATCTGAAATATATGAAAATATTTATCATAGCACTTTGCAACTAGAACAAAATATCTGATGATTAAATTCAAAGCTCTTTTTGGGCACAAATACACATTATTAAATTATTCATTTATGTAAATAATATTTCTGTCCGCTTTTTGTAAATGAGTAGATTTCCTAAAAAATATTTTTACTTGGGCCCTTCATAATGGCTCAGTGGGTAGAAGTGCTTGTTGCCTGGAATCAATCCCTGGAAACCACATGGTAGAAGGAAAGAACCAATTCCTTCAGCCTCTCTTCTGACATCCACAAGTATGTCATGGCATGTACATGCCACCTCTATTCCAAACACACACTCACACGCACACAGAATGAAGGGGATGTAGTTTAAGTTTTCTTTTAAATATGTTACTTCTATATATTTTTGAGTTTAATTATGAAGATTGGTTGGCCAAATTTCCCAAAACTACAAAGACTATTCTAATAATAGAAATAGAAATTACTTAACAAAGTTATACATATTAAGTATATGGTTAAACAAACATGCTTGTGTGTGTGTGTGTGTGTGTGTGTGCATCTGTGTCTGTGTGTGTGTACATCTGTGTCTGTGTGTGTGTGCATCTGTGTGTGTGTGCATCTGTGTCTGTGTGTGTGTATTATATTTTAGAACTAGTAGAACTAGTTCACACTAATTCTACTAACTAGTAGAACTAGTTAGCCTAGAAAATATGACAGGACTACTGTCTTACGACATTTGCTTGTCTATTTATGTATAGTCACTGTTCAGTCACTGGAATTTTAAATCCATTCAAGTAGACTCTAGTACAGCCTTCCCTGCACAACCTGACATGTAGGTATTTTAAGGGGATGTGTTTAAGTAATTCAGATTCTTCACTTACAGGGGCCAGGTCCAATGATGGTGACTGACTACTCCTCAAAAAGCTATTCAAGGTATTTTGCCCTTGGCCACAGGACTGATGAGTCTAGTAGTAATCAAGCTATTCTTATTCTTGTATGTCTCAAGAGTTTTCAAACGATTCTGAGATAAGAGTGGTTCTTCATCCCTGGTGGCAGACGGCAAAGGACCTAACCCTCTGACAGTTCTAATAGCTATGTTTTTAAGTCTGTGAAGAATGTGAGTTTAAGGTGAAGGGGAGGAAAGCTAACAGAGGGCAAAGCAAGGGGAGTCATAAGGAGAGGGTATTGGAAGCTGGACCTAGGTCTTTTGAACTTGATTCATCTTCCAAGCTTTCAAGTGCTTTTTTAATTTTAAAATTTCACTGAGTTTTGGTGAGTCGGTGCAGTGCATCTTTGCATCCTTTCTGAAACCGGGGTTGTGATGGAGTTATGCACAGGTGTGTGGCATGAGAGGACACATGGGGAGCAGGGGCCTTGTGGGGAAGGTTTTCAATGTCTCTTGTGTAGCTTAGAAATTTAGGATTTGCCAGGTGAATTTGTTGGCAAGGGCTACCAAGAAATAGAAGTGACTTTAAGAAAAAGAAGCAAATGAAAGTGTCTAGAACTTCTGTGTCATGTCTCTGGAGATCCTGAGAGACATGGTGAGAAGAAAGGCTGATGTCAAACTGTAAAAGAAGAGAAATCATATTTCCAACTCCAGTGCTTCTGGTTCTTCACCAAACTCCTAGAGATAGCATAGCATTCCAAATGCAAATTTATTGGCTTGAGAACCTTTTTATTTTTTTTTTTACAGAAATCTTAGAAAATGTGCACAAAAGACATTGTATCCTGATGTATATACATTTATGACCATTACTATAGTTCCAAGGTTTCTTTTTCTATAAATGCACACTTCCACTAAGATGAGTGAACAGTCTCTTATTAACCATGAGCTGACCAGTCATTGCTATCAGGAGCATATACAAGGTACTGAAAAAAGGGAATCAATTACAGAGGTTCAGAACATCCCTATTTAACTGTAGTTCACTTAAGTATCTATTTGGCAAAAAGTATGCTCACAAGCCAGCAACATGGTTTCCTAACTTGGACAAGGTGATATCTAATGGTCTTTGGGCAGATGAATGAATGCTTTCTAAGGAACAAGGCTTCTCTGATGATTTGGAGAGAGTGTATTTGTGAGCATGTGTAGGTACACAGAGGAGGGGAGGGAGAGGGAGAGGGGGAGGGAAAGGGAGAGGGACAGGCAGAGACAGACAGAGACAGACAGACAGAGAAAACATAAGAGATGCACAGATGCAATGCATTGACTCAAAAAAAAAATGGAGCAAAGCATTAAAATAAAAACAAAAATATCTGTTAGATAGGAAATGGACCAAGTGAAAACAAGACCAAGCCCTGCTTCCAAGACCCTCCCCATAGACTTCTGCATCTATCTACTCACTTTCCTCTCCCTTATCTTAAACTCAAAGTCTTCATAAACTCACTTGTTTATGAGGCTTGCTTCAGTCTGCATCTTATTGATGAAAGGAATTCAGTGTTACCCTTGCAGTGTAACCTGCATCCCCAATGGCCCCAACTCCAGGGTCAATGACCTTACATTACAACTGACATAACTTATTTTCTTGCAGTCACATTTTTTCTTCACTTATCCATGTCTCATATCTTGTAATGAACACACCCACAAAAACTGTCATTTTACTTGATCACACATAAGGTGGCTTTAATTATGCTTGTGTTTTCAGCGAGGGAAAATGAGTTTCAGAGAGATCATATGGTCACAACAGCAGAGCTGAGACAGAAGTGCAGGTTTAACTGCACACGTTTTGTGTTTTTATAGCTTATTATGGTTGACTGAGTTTTTCAAATCTAACCTACACATAGTTAGGACCCTTAACATCTGGTCTTCTCCACTGCTGAGAACACATTTTCATCCATAATCCAGAATGCTAACATAACCATGGAAGTGAAGGTTCTAAGGGGTCACTTCTGTTTGTTTGTAAGGATAGAAACCAATTCCTCACTCCCAAATCCACTCTCCATTGTCTTTTTGATGCTAATGGGTTCATCTGTGTTACCTGGGCAGAAGGAGGTGACTGATTTTCAATTCACATGCTTCAGTTCACACAGCGTCTTCTGTGACTCTGTAGGTCAGCTGAAGCCTTCTAAGTTCAAAGATGTTTTTCTCTCTGACCTTGACTCTCCAATGCTCTTGGTGCAGTTGCTCCTTAAGGTGTAGGTTACCTTTCTAATAAAAAGCAGGTAAGAAGAAATGAGGTGTTGAAGATACTGGAGCCATTGGCAGGTGGTAATATAGAAAATAAAAGACATTGAATACTTTTGTCTTTTGGTGCACATATTTTAGCCGTTGTATACGTATAATTCCCACAACTACTGCATGAGAAAAGTCTAATATTTGACCTTGCCAGAACAAATAGAGTAAGCTCTCAACTGTTTTCCTTGACTCTGTACTCCCTTTCGCCAGAAATATATAATTTTATTGTATATTATATGATAATATTACATATTATTTATTATATTACTATTTATTATATATTATACTAAAATTCTAATACATAATTTAGTTCAAGTAATTTACTAGTTTCTCACCAATACCCTATTATACATATATATATATATATATATATATATATATATATATATATATAATCTGACATATGCATGGACTGTCTTTTACCAATAGAATACACTATAAATATCCTGCTTTAGACAAATACCTCCTTCTCACAGTACTTAATCCAGGGTCTTTCATGTGGGAATTATTTATACTTTATTACTGTGGTATTGTTGGACTGTATGGTCTTGGATAAGTTAAGTTCTCTGCGATCTAGTTTTCATCTGAGGTAAATGAAACTGATTCAATCACTTTTGCCCTGTGGAGTTGAGAACTCTTAGAACAATGATTGTCCTGTAAACAGACTTGAATTCTGAATACATCTTGTCCTTCTCCATGCAGTATTCTTGACTAGATTCATGTTTTGCTATCATTTTGCCTTCTTTGTTATATTACTGGATCTAGGCAGATAGTAACCTGTAGCAGAATTTGGACTGTACAGCAATCTGTGCAGAATCTATGTTTTAAGATTTTAATTCTAGCCAGGCGGTGGTGGCTCACGCCTTTAATCCCAGCACTTGGGAGGCAGAGGCAGGTGGATTTCTGAGTTCGAGGCCAGCCTGGTCTACAGAGTGAGTTCCAGGACAGCCAGAACTACACAGAGAAACCCTGTCTCGAAAAAACAACAACAACAAAAAAAAGATTTTAATTCTCTAAGATTTTTATTTTTTAGTTATAAATACACACACACACACATACACACGAGCTCCTAGAAATACTGTGTTTTTAAGAGTATTGAACATATTTTTTGTGATATTAGTAAGAAATGCATAGTGAAATTAGGGGGCAGTGTTTTGCAATTCTGTCACATGCAGTTCTTTCTCATTGACATACACCTTTTAAAAATATGACTGATAAAGAGGGAGGCTCCCAGGAGACAATTTGCAGGTGATCTTAGCTGAAATGCCCAATAGTGGGGATATGGAACTTGAAGAGACTACCTCCAGTAGCCAGACAGGACTTTCAGTGGACGGGTCGGGACACCAACCCATCTACAAAACATTTGACCCCGAATTTGTCCTGTCTAAAAGAAATGCACATGCTGGTGGAGGCTGACGTCAGATATCTTCCTCTATTATTGTCCATCCTGTTTTTGAGACAAGGTATCTCGTTGAACACAGAGCTCACCAATTCAGCTAGATTGGCTGGCCAGCAAATCCCAAATATTTTCCTGTCTTCATCCTTCCAATATCACCATGCCCATGACTTAGGCATTGTCGTAGTTGAATGCTTAGTCACCAGGGAGTAATACCATTTGAAAAGGATTAGGAGGTATGGTCTTGTTAGAGGAAATGTGTCACTGGAGGTAGGCTTTGAGATTTCAAAGCCCATGCCAGGCTCACCCAGTCTTTCAGCTTGTGAAGCATTATATTGTTCTCAGGTTCTGCTCTAGAAGCATGTTCTCTGCCATGATGATAATGGACTGACCTGAAACTGTAAGCAAGCCTCTAATTAAATGCTTTCTTTTATAAGGGTTGCCGTGCTCATGGTGTCATAATGGTTAAAAGTGTGATATCAGGGCCAGGCAGCCAAGATGTAAAACGTTACTCTGTTCTTAACTGTGTAACTTTAGTCAAGTTATTTAAACT